AAGGGGAATCGAAAGTGACGTTTATGCACAGTTATTTAGTCAAGTGAGATATTCTATCCCATTAATTTGTTAATTCAAAAACACCACAACCAAATATATTGGATAAATAGTTCAAAAGATACTATGGACTTGGTAAGTATTGAGTATAAAAAATATACAAGTCATGATTTATATATATTTACGTGTCAGAAACCATTACTTAGGTAAGTGAAATATAAATTCCTAAATATTTGGTGGATTGAATTTAAAGTTCAAAAGTCATAAAAGTTTTTATGGATTTCAATTAAAGTTCTGTATTAACACCCATTTAAGCGTTCGAAATTGTTAGATAGACAGTATTGGATCCTTCGTGCTGTTTTACAATGAACTAAATGAGTTTAGAAGTTATAAGAGTTTTAATTTTTACTAAGCAAACTTCATAAATCCTATTTGGGTGTAAGTGAATGCCACATTTTAAAGCTATTTCCTGGTTTCCCTTAGTTTTTTGCGCAATTAATTTCTTAGAATCTTGCCTACAAAAAATTTGATTCAAATTAGATTAAATCCTGTAATTAAATCCTGTAAATTAGTATTTTAATATTAATTTACAAAAGTATACAACTTTATGAAAATCAGTATGAAACTTAGCGTACTAAACTTTAAATGTAAAGTATTTGAGTTTGGGAAAGAAATGATATTTCAGATAAATGGGAATTACAGAACATTAAATATCTTTTAAACATTTAAATATTTTTTTAACATTAAATATCTTTTAAATTAAATGAATGAATTTTTACATTCTGAGATGCAATTTGAATGTCAACATATTTTAAAATTTCTTTAATAATTATTATGGACGATGGTTTAAGTTACAAAATGAGAAGAAAAACGTCCTAAATAAATCAGCTTTCTTTCACGCATTCTGATTCTTGACATTAAAAANAATAAGAAACCGGAAAAAAAATTCGAAAGAAAGGGTGAAAATTGATAAAAATCTGGAAAATAAAAGATATAATCTTTTCATCAGCTCACACGATTATATCCGTCAAGAAGAATGCTTTTAAATATTGCATCAATGTAGCCAAAAAAAAAAAATTATATCAATACGATAGTGTGGGGAAACACTCAAAAAAAGTTTTACAAAAAATTTACAACAAATAAAATCGAATACATTAAGTGAAAATATCACTTAAAAACAGAAAATAAAATATAAAGAAGAAACAGAATTAAACATGAAGCGAAATCCATAAAGAGAATAGCGAATTCAAATAAATTTACATGAACGGGAAATTTTCAAATATTTTAAAATATTGTCGTAACAAGATTGACAGATTGCAAAATATAAAACCAAAAGCGCAAATGCGGAGTTAATAAATAAGGAATACATTTTAAATACGTAGTTAAAAAATAGTAAAAATTTTAAACTTGGTAATTTAAATAATGACAGAGTCGTTAAAAGAATTTTACCTTTTTGTAAGAGGTTAAAAATTAAAATTAGCAATATACAATTTCCTTGCTTAATTATCAGTCCTAAATTTCATAAAATTCCTATAAAATTTAGAACAATCACATGTGGATCTAATACTTACCTAACTAGGTAAGCATAATAAATTAATTCTATTGCGACTTTTGATTTCCAGGATCATTTCAATAGCATTTCCCCTTCTAAACTAACTAAAAGATGTCCTTTTGAATTATTACTATGATTTTAAAAATATCCTTTATTGCGATTTCGATTACTGAGAAATTCTAATTAATTTTTGTCTTTTCAATGATTATTTTTACAATGGAAAGTATATTTTTCTTTAAATTGATGGAATACCAGAAGGATCGAAATATTCATCTCTGTTAGCTAACTTATTTTTTCATTATTATGTAAAAAATTATACTCTTAATATTGAATTTGTTTTTGATTTATTGATGATTTAATTATCTTTAAGTTTCATTATTATACTATTTTATTAAATACTATTTACTCCGCGGAATTAATCTTGTTTCGTAATCGTGATGATTAATTTCAATTTTTGGGATTTGGGTATTATAAAAGAAGAAAACTGATGTAAACGATTTCGAAATTTGTTGATTTATACGATAAAAGAAATTATTTTAATTTTAATATAAATAAACTAATTACTTTTAATCCGTATGTTTCCAGGAACATCTATTTAAATAGCATTTTTAATGAAATGAATAGAATTAAAAGAATATGTAGCAATATTTATTTATTCAAAAAAGAAAAAAAAAATAGACCAACTCTTTCAAAATTTGATTAAAAAAAACAATGAATACCAAACTTTAGTAATTAAATTCTATATAAAATCATTTAGTTAATTGTATATTATAGTAAATAAATTTACTAAAAAATTTCTTTGTTAATTTATGTAATTTTTACCATGTGCAAATCTATTTCGGGCAAATCCGTGGCTAAAATTATGTGTAAAACAGGCAATTCAAGTTTCTTTCTCTTTTCTATTAATTTTTTTTTCTTAAATAAATGTTAATTTTCAAAAATTATTTACTGTCAACTTCTATAAGTTATCCAGTATAATATTACCTTGCTCACATCCATTTTCGGGCCCATCCTTGGTAACTAACAAATCAAGCGCACTTCAGTAATGCAGCAAGAACGCACTTTAATGCAAAACCCCTTTGTTTACGCTTTTACCTAAATTTGCGCTTTTGTTTTCCTTTTTTGCAATCTGGCAATCTTGTTACGAAAATATTTTAAATCATTCCTAAAAAATTTCCCGTTCATGTAAATTCATTTGAATTCGAAACTCGCTTTATGGATTTCGTTTCATGTTTTATTCTGTTTTTTCTTTATCTTTTGTTTTTGCGTGATACTTTTACTTATTGTGTTCTATTTTATTTGTTGTAAATTTTTTGTAAAAATTTTTTTGAGTGCTCCTCACACTATTGTATTGACATATTTCGCTTTGGCCATATTGATATTGATACAATATTAGAAAGCACTCCTTTTTGCGGATATGATCGTGTGAGCTGATGATAAGATTATGGGCAATTCCACGAAAGTGTCAACTTTTAAGTGAAATTTTTTTTTTATGAATTGCATATTTTAATTTTAAAAATATGTTCAAAAATAGCCAAAGTCGACATATTACTGTTTAATTTTTGATAATTTTAAGTTTTTTTGAATCTGGCAGCATTCTAAAGTAATCACATGGCTGACAAGTGAATTCTTCACATTTGTGCTCAAATTGTTTTCTTGAGAAATACTTATAAAATAAAAGAAATGTATCTTTCTTTTGCAATATTTTGATAAAAATATGCATATAGTACAAAATTTAAACATTTAAAACACAGCCTTTAAGTCATTTTAAGTTTAATATATTAAATAAAAGTAACTTTTTTTTGTGTCATTCCGTTACATGTTTTAGTATATTTTTTAAAATAGCAACTGCGTTTTTGAATGAAAATGTGTATATTTTGGAATATAAAGCAGATGTGGCATAAGAATCAATGAGAAATTGTAAAATTCTATGCATTTGATTATTAACTTCCAATAATTAGCGTGACGGAATGACACATCTTCGGCGATGGAATGACAAAACGAGTCCTTGAGAAGCTTAGTCAAAAACTAGGGAATTATTTTTTTTTCAATTAACCTAATGGCTAAAACAGCTGTTGAAAGACAGATAAAATGTTGAAAAAGACCAAGATCCCCATGATATGATGAAGAAAAAAAACAGAGAAAGAAAGGCAGAGAAGAAAGCTTCCGCGACAAAAGTTGGACTTAAAAAACTCAGAAGTGCAAACGCTGTTGTGCAGAGATTGTGTAAACAAAGAAAAAATCAAATTCTACCAATCTCTTCACATACAAATAATTTAAATTCCCTATACAAATTCCTGCAGAGTCTTGGTAAAGCCATAAAAAAAATTGTACACTCACCATAAAAAAAATTGTACACTCACTTCCAAAATCACCAATAGAGGTAAAAAAATTAATTCAGTCTTTATGTGAGAAGTATTTAACATCGAACTCAAAAGAAACTAAGTGAGAAAAGTAATGTTGATGAGCTGTTTAATTTGGTTAAAAACATTGCTGAATG